CTTGTGGCTCTCTGGCAAGTTTTCAGAGGCAGTTAATAACATGGGAAGAGATTGTCTATCCTTCTCCCATGGAGCACAGCGTGGCCTTGAAACACATGGCTTTAGTAATACAGTGAGGCTTCTTGCCACTAGGCCACCAGGGTAGACCTAGACATTTTCACAGATAAAAAAAAAATCTACAAACATACTGAAGAATAAATACAAATCATCCATAAATTCTTATAATAAATAAGAGTGAACTATCTGACTCATTTAATGAAACCAGAAGAAGTTGATGGCAAAGCAGATAAAATAACACACAAAAAAGAAAAGTCCATGTTAACAGCTCCTTTGAATATAGACATTGAATTCTTAAACAAAATGTTATCAAAGCAGAACTAGTAGAATATGAGATGGACTTAACATTATGACAAAGTTGGATTTATTCTAGGTATACAAAGTTGACTTAATACGTGAAATCAATTAACACAATACATGATGTGCATATAATAAAATGTAAAAACAACATGGTGATTTTAACAGAGATTCAGAACAAAATGTATTTTACAAAGTCAATAATACTTTGCTCTTTAATGAAACAAAAATTTTAAAATCTAGGAACAGAAGAAAATTTCCTCAATCATGAGGGACACTGTTGATTCAGTGATTGAAGAGCTCAGTAGCAAATACAAAGGTCAGAGGATTTAGGGTTGTTTTAGTTTAATTGTTTTTAATGATTCTCAATTATATGTTGTTGTTATGTGCCATCAAGTCATTTGTGACACATAGCAACCCTATGTACAAGAGCCCTAAACGCCGTTCTATGCTGTGCCAACCTCGCCGTTTCAATCACACTCATTCCCACCACTCCACTCAAGAATCGATCCATCTCATTGAGGGTCTTCCTCTCCTACGCTGCTCCTCCACTTTCCCAATCATCATGTCCCTCTCCAAGGACCAGTCCCTCCTTGCAACATGCCCAAAGTATGTCAGACAAAGCTTCAGAATCCTTGACTCCAGGGAACATTCTGGCTTCACCCTCTCCTGGACAAACCTGTTTGTTCTCCTAGCAGTCCATGGTATATTCAACACTCTTCTCCAGCACCACAACTCAAAGGCATCAATTCTCTTTCTATCATCCCTACTCACTGTCCAACTCTCCAATGCATAGCACATAACTGCAAAGACTATAGCCTGGATCAGGCACACCATAGTCTCCAGCCTGACATCGTTGGACTTCAGTACTCTTGAGAGGTCCCTCACAGCTGACTTTCCCAATGCAATTCATCTCCTGAATTCCTGGCTGCTGTTACCAAGAGTGTTAACTTTGGAACCAAGTAAAAGAATACTGTTAACTATCTCAATCTCTTCACCATCCATATTGATGCTACCAATTGGCCCAGTGGTGAGAATCTTTGTTTTCTTGATATTGAGCTTCAATCCATACTGAAGGCTGCAATCCTTGACCTTCTGTAGCTAGCACTTCAGGTCCTCCTCAGTTTCAGAAAGCAGGGTTGTGTCATCTGCATAACGCAGGTTGTTGACGATTCTTCCACCAATCCTAATGCCACATTCCTCCTTGTACAGCCCAGCGTCTCGAATGATCTGTTCTGCATACAGACTGAAAAGGTATGGAGACAAAATACATCCTTGATGGACCCCTTTCTTGATTTTGAAGCATCCAGGATCTCCCTGCCTCTTTGTCCAAGTGTAGGTTTCCCTTTAGCACAATCAAATGTTCTGGGATTCCCATTCCTCTCAGAGTCAGCCATAGCTTGTTGTGATCCACAGAGTCAAAAGCCTTTGCATAGTTGAAAATCAAACATAAAGTTATCATTTTATACCTCTCAGTTGTAGGTATAGATCCAAGAGAACTGAAGAGAACTAAAGACATGCTCACTCAAACACTTGTATGTTAATATTTATAGCAACATATTCACAAAACCCAAAAATAAAAAGAACCAAAATACTCAAGTGATAAATGGATAAGGCAATGTAACATATGTACACAATGGAATATTACTCAACCTCAAAAAGAAATAAGTGCTGATATGTACTATAATGTAGGTGAATGTAGTTGTTAGATATCATCAAATTGACTACAACTCACAGCAATGCTATAAACAGCAGAGCTGATCGCTCAAGTCAATTGTGGTAGTCATTGTGTCAGTTCAGGCTATGGAAGGTCTTTCTCTCCTCTTTCACTGACCCTGTAACTTTCACAGCATGGTATCTCTCTTCCACGAATGTTTGGTTTTATTTTTTTTAATTAATTTATTTTCATTTGTGTGTGTGTGTGTGTGTGTTTCTTTTTTTTTTTAATTAATTTCAATGAACATCTACAGAGATTTTGGACTTCCATTCATTCATAGTTGCACTTTTCTCCCTGCTCACCCCTTCCCTACCCCCAGTTTTATTTTTAGTGGTTCCCCCCCACCCCCTAAAAGTATGTCCAAAGCAAGTGTGATAAAATGTCACCTTTCCTTGCCTCTGATAAATCCTCTGGTTACACTTCCTTCAAGATAAACTTACTTGGGTTTTTTTGGCTAGGATATGTACAATACTCTTCATCAACACCACATCAGTTCTGTTATCTCTATTCATTGTTCAACTTTCAATGCCTAGGAAGCAACTGAAAACACTACTTCTTGGATAAGATGTATTTAAATGGACATTCCTACTTATTAGGATTTTGGTGAGGTCTTTGACAACAGATTTCCCAAATGAAACACATGTCTTTTGATTTTTTTTTTAGTACTCTACTATCATTGATGCTGACTGTCGATCCAAATAAAACAAAATTGTTGACGACTTCAGCCTTATTTTAATCTATTATTATATTGCCTAATGATATAGTAGTGAGAATTTTTGTTTTCTTTATGATGAGATGTAACTCATATTGAATACTGTATTCTTTAATCTTCTGCAGTAAATATTTAAGTCTTCTTCACTTTCTTCAAATAAGCTTGGATCAAATGTATACCACAGATTGTTTATATGGTTGTTGTTAGATGCCATCAAGTCGAGTATGACTCATGGTAACCCTATGAACAGTGGATCTGACCCCCTGTGCCATTCTCAGACTTCCTGACACACTAGAGCCCATTGTGGCAGTCACCATGTCAATCCACCTGGTTCAGTTTTCCTCTCCTCTGCTTCTCTGCCCTATCAAGCATCATGTCCCTTTTCAAAGAATACCCCTCCTAGCAACATGCCCAAAGTATGTGAGGTGAAGCCTCATCATCCTTGTCTCCAAAGAACATTCTAGCTACACCCTATCCAAGGCATATTTATTTATTCTTTTGGTAGTGTATAGGATGTTCAGTGCTTTTTTCCAACACCACAACTCAAAGGCATCAATTCTTCTTCTAGCTTCCCTATTAATTGTCCAGCTCTCAGATATATAGTAAGTGATTTGAAAACCATGGCCAGAATCAGAAGTCTTGATGTAGCTGTCCTCATTTTAAAGTATAATTTTTTCAATAATTTGTTCAGTATACAGACTGAATAGGTATGGAGAAAAAAAATACAATCTTGATGTACACATATGTGCATCAGACAGATAAATATTAAAAATATGCTATGTGAAAAAAGATAGAATCCATTGTATTATTGCATATATCTGCCATATTCAGGATAGTAAATCCACAATGATAGGAAGTAGATAAATGATTGTCAGTGTTGATAGAGGCAGATTGGGAGTGACTTCTAATAGGTATGACATTTTAGGAAGAGTGGGTGTGGCGATTGAAAAGGTTCTAAAACTTCCAGTGGTAATGGCTGCACAATTGTATTGACAATCTTTGCATTATATGTAAATTTTGTGATATGTAAATACAAGGACATCTTTATATATTTAAAGGTTAAGACTTGGATTCCCATGAAAGAATTCATCTCATTACACTGCATACATGTAAATCTGGTTACTGCAGATTGGTGATGAGTAGCTAAATAGGTGACTACAGGGGCTTTATGATATGTGAGGGTAGTGGTACTTGACTTTCACTTGGATTCTGGTGAGGTGCCTCTAGAGCAATGTCTAGTAACAATCTAAGATAACCACAAAAAAATTCTCAGAGATTATCATGGACAAACCGTAGAAAATGAGATGGGTCACTGAAGACTCATAGGAAAGGTTATCTTCTAATTCACTACAACAACAATACCCATGACCTTAAGAAGGTTAAAACACATTTAAGAAGCATTCTGGAAAGAATGCTAGAAGAACATCTAAAAGATAAGAAAACACTTGATAAAAACCTTCAACTTTTAATTGAACTTTAGGTTTGAAATACCTGAGCTCATCTAAAAACTCTAAATGTATCAAATCGATCTCAAAGAAACAAAACAAAAACACCACTAAACATACCTGGAAGAAACTAAGTCTGAACTGGGAGATACTAAATAATCATGAATGCTCTAAGCTAATTCCCCTTTTCTGCTTTTATGTGGTATGTCCTTTCAGAGGAAATAGGAAAGTTACATTTTCATGGCTGTCATGGTAAATTGTGTGCTGTGTTGTTGACTGAATTCCAAGGATTCGAATGTTTGGTGTTCTGCCAGGGAAAGGACAATCTCCCCCCATAAATACTTACTGCCTCTGAAACCCCATGGAAGGTTGTTATACGTCAAAATTGACTCAACAACTCTAAGTCTAGTTTCGATTAAGTCAGAATGTGTAACTTTTAAGTCTCCCACAGTCCATGGAAAATGAGTACTCAGGAACAGTTATGAGGTGATGTTTTCCAGTTCAAATGAGAAGTGCTTAAAGACAAGATGCCTGGATTGAGTTTGGCAATGTCACCAAATGACCACATAACTTTGGACATAAACTTCTTTGGAACTCATTTGCCTGACCTATGAAGGAGCTGAAGTAAGTCTAAAAGCATGACTTTGTATGCCCAATGGAGAGATATATGCCCTTTTGACAAGTTGAAAGGAGTACTGTCTTTAGAATCCTCTTTCTTTGGTCAGATATCTAGAAGCTGGGTTATGGACAATTAAATAGAAATTATAGTTACCTTTGATGCAACCATGTAGACTCTTGGATTTGCAGCCACATCTTTCAATTAGCTCAGGATTAGTCACATCGCTGTGACAGTTGGAACAGTAAAATAAAGCTCTGGACAATGAAAGCAGATCAAGAATGACTAATGTGAGGCTTAACATCAGGGAGTCATGTTGCTGACTCAGTCTGACTGCCATTAAGTTGTATTTGCTTTAGTGTTCCCCCCTAAAAGTAATTTTGAAAAATTACCTTTTGACTTCTTTTGCAGATTCAGCAATAAAGAACCCTATTGTGTTCTTACACAGTCTGACATGTGCAGGTGGATTTAGCACCAGATCACTGGGAACAGAAATAAAAGTAGAGTCATTTTTTCCTTCTCATTTTTGTGGCAATCTTTGGCACTTCATTTTGTTGTTACTAATTCAATCCCCAAGTTTCACCACAGAGTGAATAGAAATACTGCCAAACACAGTAGAAAGCGTGAATTTGACTGTCTGTAATTCTTTTATTGCTGCTAAACTGTAGCAACATAACCATGTGACTGTGGTGCCCAGGGAAGGCTGAACCAGGTTGAGTTTCTCCTGATTGTATTATAAATCTGAGGTGGTCAAATATCTGATGCATAAAGTCTTGCTATTTCAGGCTATTAAGTATAATACAAGAGAGGAGAGGGAGATAACATATTTACTTATCTACTGGTCATTCCTACAAGTGGGTATCCTTACCTCACTTGCATTTGAAGTGTTAAATCAAAAGTTCAGTATCATTTGTAAATATTTCCTGATTAACCTGACTCATAATTTTTTGGTATCTGTGTACTTTGAGAAGAACGTTTATAGAATATCTCCTAAGGGTTTTGCTGCTAAACAAAAGTCAGTGTCTCTCTGTTGTTTTAAAGGGACCAGTGACTTTTTGAAGAAAAAGGGACAGACTCCTCCTTGAACCCTTCAAAAATCTACAGGAAGATCAGTGATGAGTCAGTTTCACTCCAGTGTAATGACTGATATATTTGTGAGGATGTATATTTCTTTTCCATTTTTTTTTCTATCCTGATAGCAAGCTCCTTGACAGGAGCACTCACATTAATTGTTCTTTGAATCTTTCCGTTTTTCTGTTGTTTTAATGGTTTGTGTGAATTTTATTATTTCAAAAGTCCACCTTGACCATTTCAGTCACAATATTTCTTAAGGCAATCTTCCACTGTGACTTTAAAAAAAAAAAAAAAAAAAGGCAATCTTCCACTGTGACTTTTTGTGTTCCCTTTATCTTTCTCTGGGTTTTTCCAGCCATTGATATTGCAGTGTTAGCTTAAGAGTAGGCTTTTCTTAGCCATTACATTTAGCCTTCTTTAGTCTCCAGCTACCTTACTGCAGGCACTTGGTCTTGCAAATTATGAACAGCTGTAAGACTAAAGTGAGAGAGTGATGCTCACACTGAGTAGCAAGATGTATAGTGGCAAGACTTGAGGGAGACAAGTGCAAGACCCTTTTGAGAGAAAAAGATCCTGGTGGCAAGACCGTGGTGATGGTGGTCAAGAGACTGTGTCATTGCTGTGGAGAAACTGTGGCAAGTAGTAACCAGAGGAGTCCTGAGATAAAGGCCATAGTTAAAGGTTGTGCTGCTCTTGCTGGATGCTGGAAGGAGAAGCAGATAATAAGTGCTCTGAGGCAAACCTTGCTGGATGATTAAGGAAGTCAGTGGTTTCTTGAATTTGTGTTGCTGAACTAAAACCAGATGCTGGACTAATTGAGGAATTCTCCCTTGGGATTGTTCAGCTAAAAGCTGGATTTGCATTGGGTGATACTTCTTGCCTTGTCTCCCTCCACAATCCTCCAAGTTCCTTCCTAAATAAACCCTAGTCGTGGAACCCCAACTGTGAGTCTATGAATCAACAATGAATAAAAGAACCTCTTGCTGCTGGTGTGACTCTAGAGGTACCATGGGGCTGGCCTCCGGGGCTTTGTCTGCTTTCTGACCTAGGGTGGTGAGAGGCTGTGCTACTATTCTCACTCCTTTTGGCCCTTTCAGAGAGATGTTCATGGCCCTGTAACCCCATGTCCCTTTTTCTGTTCTTTAGACAGTTATGGTCAATTTTCCTTCTACCAATGTTGATGGTGGTGGATTTTTCACAACATGGTAGCCAGAAACATAACCTCCAAAAGCTACCTGTTTGGGTTGGGATTCATCTCTATCATTTTGAGTGATGAAGATTTCATCAAATTATTTATCCATTCTGGGCCTCAGTTTCCTCCTTTGTAAAATGAAGTTAAAAATAAGATACATAGAATAGTATTGTTATAATGATTCAAGAGTTATATGTATGTATGGGTTTAAATAAAGTTCTACTATATGTAAATGTCATGATTAATTATTGGTCAAAAGATAAATTCTGTACGAGCACACTTAAGTGCTCTGGAATTATCATACTTTTCAATATACCAATAATTTTTATGATCTACATAGTAAAATATCTTTGTGTACTCAAAAAAATACATGGTAACATCTTTCTGATAGTCTCTGCTTTCAGCCAAGATCAAGTCAATATTAGTAATGATACATACTTCCTTTCACATACTATTTGGAACCCCGTTAAGAACTTCTGGCAGTTCCCTGTCAATGTACTGTTGCAACCTGTTCTTAGTTATCTTTAGCATGATTTTACTTGCATATAATAGTAACAATATTGTTAAATAATTTCTTCATTTTGTTGGATAATCTTCTTTTGTAATTGTTATAAATATTAATATCTTCCAATAGGCTGGCTAAGTAGTTGTCTTCCTTTTTTTTAACTTATTAAAGTAAACAACTCTAGTATTGTGTTCCTTTCTTGAAAGATGTCATAAGGTATAGTATTAATTACTGGAGCTTTGTAACTGCAACATTGCTTACTATGCAATACGAACCTCTTCCTTTAGTTCCATTGGTGTTTAATTCTATGCTACCTCTTTAAATGTTGAGCATCAAACCTTTTTTCCCAGTACAGTGACTTAATGTATTTCTTCTCTTTTCTGTTGATGTTCCTGCACCGTTCAATATTCTACCTACAGAATCCTTCAGCATGACACCTTAAGTTTTGAATCTTTTTAGTTTTTTTAAAAACTAAAGTTCTGCTGAAAAAAAGCGTTTTGTTCTCATATTTTGGCTTCCTAACTTTGCAGATTTTATTATATCATATTATATCATATATTATATCTTCTTGAATTTCCCTTTGAGAAAATTCCCTTTTGTTCAGCTCTCTATGCCAT